TCTCTACTGGGGCTTCTTTTCTGGCCGGGGCCGTGTGAAGCCAGCGGGGCGCTGGCGAGAAGCCGCCTGGCAGTTGTGCGACTACTACCTGCCCTATGCGCTGGGCGGTGGCTACGTGCTCTCGGCTGACCTGGTGCACTACCTGCGCCGCAGCCGCGAGTATCTGCGCGAGTGGCACAGCGAGGACGTGTCTTTGGGCGCCTGGCTGGCACCAGTGGACGTGCAGCGCGAGCACGACCCGCGCTTCGACACTGAGTACAAGTCCCGAGGCTGCAACAACAAGTACCTGGTGACACACAAGCAGAGCCCGGAGGACATGCTGGAGAAGCAGCGCTCCCTGCTGCGTGACGGCCGGCTCTGCGCGCAGGAGGTGCAACTGCGCCTCTCCTATGAGTATGACTGGTCAGCACCGCCCTCGCAGTGCTGCCAGCGGAAGGAGGGCATACCCTGACCCAGCCAAAGGAAGCCTGACAGGCCCGGGGCGGACGCCACGCGGCCCGGAAAGCTTCGAGGCCCTGGTCAGGTGTCTGCTTTGACCAGGAACACGTGGGTGTGCATACTGGGTGCCGCTTGCTGACCCTGATGATGCAGCTACAGGGAGCCTCGCCTGTGGTGCTTCCCTTCGTCGAGGGCCTGGGCATCCCCCTTACCTGCCCCAGCGACTGGGTTCGGGGTTCACCGGCAACCTGGACCACTGAGGACAGAGCTGGGGACAGAGCCACTGGCAGGTCCCTGCACTGAACTGAAGGGTTTTCGCCAAAACTGCTTTTGTACCTTTGGACAGATTGTTTTTTGTGTCTCTGGTCAGTATCATTGGTCATGTTTTAAGTCTGAGAATTGAGTCAGTTTCACATCGATTAGGTTTGATGGCATTGTGGTGTGTCCTAGAGTTCATGGTAAATATAATTCAGTGTTTTCCTGCGTCTTATTTAATTTTTTTAACTTTAATTTGCATTTGTTTTATGCCTAGTTTATTCCCGTGCCAAAAGTTTTTGTTTCTTCTGGGATATCTTTTCCTTCTGTGCAGCTTCCTCCTCTGGTTTAGGAATAGTTGGTTCCTTTTTCAGTCAGGTTCATCTGTGTGGCAGGGGGAGCTCACGTATGGTTTAATCTGGCCGTGAGCTCTGTAAGTATGGCAGTACATCTGGGTGCTTTGTTCACCTGGATAAGTTCAATGACCAGAGAATCTACAGCTAAACTTTTAAGCTCAGCATTACTCTCTGCATTTTTAAGTATGTGCAGCAAGAAATTCACTTTTGGGGCCATTGACCGTGTCCTGCCCCACTGTTTGGCCTGGACACACCTACCAACTCCACCATTGTAACTCCGGAATGGCACACATTGCTTCTTTAAAGTTACATCCTTCAGATACTTGGTGGCCTTTCGTATATGCATACCCTTGATGGCCTGGGCAGTTTCATGGGTGTTCTTAAAGTGAACACGAAGATTTGAGCCTCTTTGCATAATTTTGTGGGGTTTTCTGGGTCAAGAGAGTAGCGAACCATTTTCACAAGTCACCTCTGGCCATTTACATGAAAAGTCCTGTGTCCTACTTATAAGTGTAGTTATTTGTGTATATGAGCTTTAGGTTGGAAATATCCGGATGCTTTTTTCAAATTATTTAAGAAAAGCCTTCTAGGGCCAGGGATTTAGCTCAGCAGTTCGGTGGCCTGCCTTGCAAGTGCAAGGACCCGAGTTCAATCCCTGGTACCAAAAAAAAAAAAAGAAAAGACTTCTATCAGAACTTGGAATTTGTGGGTTAATCCGCTGACAGCTTGATTGTCTGACCCTACTGCTGTGTGTTTAAACATGAAGAATTTTCCCACTGCCTCTTTCTCTTTTTAAGTTTACACATAAGTCAGTTCCTTTGTCTCTTTCTGAACAGACTTTCCTTTTAAGGCCTCCACACAGGCATTCAGAGTCCCTGTTACTCAGATCGGCCCAAGTTCCAGGAATCAGCCCTTGGTGTGTTGACAGGGCTTCCCAGATTCTGTCTTGAGAAAAAAGGATTTTCTGGCCAGCACCCGACCACACAGAGCTTAACACGTCTAGCACATCCTTTTTTTTTTTTTTTTTTTTTTGCTCCCGTTTAATATGAAAAGGGAATTCTATGGTCATTGCAGAATTGAGCTGAGCTGGCTTCAGGCAGATGGCCCTGTGGTGGCCTCAGCTGCAGCCCTGCACGTTGTCACATGCTCTTGGGCTGCTGAGTTCTTGGCAGCTCCCTGGGCTCTATGGTCCCCCTTTGGGGCTGTGAGTGGGGTTGGGACACACTGCTGCCTTTTGTCACCTTGCTTTGGGATTCTCGGGCCGTGAGCTTACTCTCCTGAGGGAGGAATACCCAGCACTGGACCTGCAAGTTTGGCCTGTGCTCAGTGGCCCTCCCTGCTGTTTTGTCCTCAGGGTCGATGGGACTAGAAGAGTCCTACTGGATTCCAAGGAGCATGCCAGTGAGCTCCCTAACAGCCCCTTGAAGCCAGGATGAGCTGCCCTGCATGTGCAATGGGAAGAACTAGGCTGAGTGGTAATGACAGGACCGTGTTTGTGCCAACTGTTTCACCTTGTAGTCATTTGAGGAGTTGACATCTCCATTTGTCAGATGAGTACAAGAGCATGGAAAGGCTGCAGGCCAGGAAACCATGCAGTGGGGGCAGACTTGAACTGAGCTGGGTGTCTTCCATGCTGCAGATGTCCAAGGAGGCCTTGGAAGGAACTGTAAACATCCCCTGTGTTTGCTGATCTGGGAAAACATTTGACCTACAGTTGAAATCTATGAGGCTAGGCTTGGCCCTGTGAGGATTCAGGAGAGCCACACGGTGGTGCCATATGCAACAGTTTTGGCCTACAGAAATAGAAGGTTCACCTGGGTGTGGTGAGGCACACCTGTCATCCCAGGTCATAGGAGGCTGAGGCAGGAAGATTGCCTTGAGTTCGAGACCAGCCTGGGCTGTGTAGTGAGTTCAAGGCCACCCTGAACTACATAGGGAGACCCTGTCTCAAAAAATAAAAACTGCCAGGTGTGGTGAGGCACATCTGTAATCCTAGCTTGTAGGAGGCTGAGGCAGGAAGATCATTGTGAGTTCAAGGGCAGCCTAAACTACACAGACTCTTTCAAAAAAAAAAAAAAGCTTCATATTGTTCAACCTGAAACATTAAATTTTAAAGCAGAACGGAGACACCCTGATTGACCCACACATCCATCCTACAAGGCCTGTGGCCACTTGCTTTCTGTGGACTGGCCACGGGCAGTAGACCTCAAGGAGCCCCACCTGTCTGCTGCTGGTCTCTGCCTGTCAGTTCTGGGCCCTATTCTGTCTGACCCCAAATCTGCCCTGCAGAGTCTCCCGTACCTCTCCTGGAGCCCACAGATGGCCCAAGCTATCTGACCCCAGGTGCCAGCAGGTCCCTGGGAGATGAAGCTGAATCCCCAAGACCACGTTTATGGATCACTTGGGGCACTCAACAGCTTGCTCTTCCTAGACCAGACCTCCTAAAGTGGCCATGAGATCACCCCCATCCCCTACAGTGAGGAACACTGGACCGGGAGTGGTGACAGTGTCAGTGGTGAGCACCACTCCCAAGTTGCAGGGGCTACAGGGAGTGAGGCAATCCTGGGGGGAGCGGAGGCACCCCTGCTGCCCCCCTCCTGGTGACTATGGTCTCTCTTCCTGCCCAGATGTGTAGAGGCACCAGAACAGCCTGAAGACTCACTGCCAGCTAGGCATGGTGGCACACACCTGTAATTCCAGCACTTAGGAGGCTGAGGCAGGAGGATTCCCAAAAGTTTGAGGCCAGCTTGGGTTATATAGCAAGACCTTATCAAAAAAAAAAAAAAATGCGGGGATTTAGCTCAGTGGCACCACCTGCCTCATAAGCACAAGGCTGTGAATTTGATCCCTGGCACCAAAAAAAAAAAAAAGGCCTCTGTCTGGGTTCCCTGGGCCCCCATCCCACCCTTCAGCCCTCAGAGCACCCCAGCTGAGGAGAGACTGGGGCAGACCCTGGGGACCTAATAGAGGGTCCAGATCTGCATGTCCACCCACCTCAAAGGCTATACCCAGCTGTAACCATGATTCTCAAGTTTCTGGTGAGGACTGAACTGTGCCCCCAAAGATGTGCTTAAACCCTAACCTAAGTTCTGGTGAAGGGGACTTTATTTAGAAACATGATTAGTTGAGAGGTCCCTGATCCAGTTGGATTGGCCCTTACAAGAAGAGGAAACAGGCAGGAGAGAGGCTGTGATTGGCCTGTTCCCGAAACACTAAGGATCCTTGAGGTGATAGTACCAACCTGGGGCAGGAGAGGAGTCCACCTGGGGCTACAGGGTAAGTAGTCAGCTGAGGCCTTGACTTGGATCTTTCTGAAACTATCCCTTAAGTCACAGGGCATGTGGTGCTTTAGCCCCAGAAACCAACACCCTCCAGGTACCACATGGGAATGGAATGAAACAGAGGGGCCTCCCAGACCCTGAGGCCCAGGAGGAGCCCCTGGCTACAGACACCCTAAGTTACCAGAGTGGAGCTAAAGAGGAACAGAGAGGAGGCTGGCATCCTGGGTAGCTTAGCCATTTGACAGTTCTCCAGTTGAATTTGATCTTTGGTGCCTGCCTGGAAAAGAGCTTGGCTTTGTCTCCTGTTTTCCTCTAAGAGACTCAGGTGAGCTCTCACAGGGAGCAGGTGACAGGCCTGCCTGTGCCCTGAGGCCACACTTGCCTGTGCAATCACCACAGGACTAGCCCAGCTCTGGGATCTCTGAGCAAACAGGGAGGGACCCAGGGTGCCCTGGAGAGCAGCACTCCTCTCTGGTCCTCCACCCTCCCTGATGCCTATGGGACCTACCCCGGTCCTTTGGAGCTGCCCTTCACCCCCTGCATGTTCCCCCTTCACTGATGCAGAACCCTTCCCACTCTGTCCTGTGGAGTCCCCACAGAGGCTCTACAGAGCCCACCTCACCCTTCCCCCAGGAGTCTCAAGCCTCCCCATGGGGGATGGGGTGGCTTGAGGAAGGGTAGAGCCAAGGGAATGCTGTGAGGTGATGTAGGGGAGAGGCAGGTGCTGAAGGATGCAGCCAGCCTTAGCCTCCTGTCTCCTTCCCCAGCAGCCACACATCACTGCACCCCTCTTAGCTGCCAGTGAGACTGCAGTGTGGTCTCCATGTGGCTTGGGGGCTGGGCCTGGGGCACCATGGTGCCCCACCCACCAGCTGGCCTTGGAGCTGGATTGTATGCTGTTCAAAGCTGGGTGGGAGAGGCACAGACAGGCTGTGGGAGCCTGGACAGACGTCAGCACCATCCTCTAGAGTAAACACCTCCCAGTACAGCCACTAGACCAAGTGGGCCTGCGTCCAGCTCTACCTCCCATTGACCCAAGGCCTGACCCAGCCCTTCAACCCAAGGAGGAGGAAACTCAAGTCCAGCCCCTCCCTCCAGTGGCGTCTGAGGGTCTCTGCTGGCCCAGCCTCCCCCAAGGGGCCCTTCGGCCCACCAGCCATGCACTTCTGATCCTGAGAGGAGTGATGGATGGCCAGCACCAGCTCAACTCTGGGTGGCGTCGTAAGGGCCAGTGTCTCGCCTGTCTCCAGGCAGCACCCAGCCCTGCCAGCATGAGAGAGAAAATCACACACAATTGCTTCAAAGAGGCTCCTCAGGCCTCGGGGTGTCCTGTGTGGCAGGGATGTCCCTCTGGGCTGGCAAGGCTGGGCCTGGAGGGAAGATTTGAGGGAACAGAGGCAGGTTTAGGGGACCTGGGGTGCTATTTGTGGAGATGCTTTGCTGCAGAAATGGACTTCACTCAGCCTCAAACACCCAGCTTCGCACAGTGACCTTGCATGCCCCAGCCTCAGTGGGGCAGTCTCAGGGCTCTGGGTGCAGGTAAGGGCAGGAGCCCGCCAGGCCACACGTGTGACAGGCCTGTTTCGAAACTGATGTTATCATAGCCGAGAAGCCTGTGAGTCACTGCCCCAGAGTAGGCTGCACCCCATGTTTTCCTGAACAAAGACCCTTTGTCCCCAAACCTTCTTCCCTGGCCCACCTGAGCAACTGTCAGGCTCACGGGCAGGCAGAGATGCCAACAGCATGGCCAAGCAGACGTGGCCCCAAGCCTGCCTCCCAGCCCACCCAGACCCAGCTCTAAGCCAGGCTGAATGGAATGACCTCTGGCTTCAGGAGGCCCAGGGCTGTGAGATCCTGCTGGGTGGAGCCTGAAGCCACATAGAGCTAAAGTGGCCTGCATGGGAGCCCAGAAGAGGCCAAACATGCCCAGTGGTAAGCAGTGGCCCAGTCTCAGCACAGGCACTCTGCTCAGCTCCTGCCCACAGCCCAGTGTGAGGCCACCACAGAGGGCACAGAGGCCCCGCTGTCCCCTGGAGCTGCCCCTAGGACATGGCCCAGGAGCCCCTGCCACCTCCACCTAGCACCCTCACCAGGATCATGGCCATCACAGGGAGCCAGATCAAGGTCCTAGGCCCACCAGCCAAATTTGCCCGGCAGATAAATACCACTGGGCCTCCTTGACCATGATCACAACCACTTTTTAAAATTTTTGTTTTCTTCTCCCTAACTAGTGACAGAAAACGCTTTATTATTTTGTGTTCTGAGATGAGGTCTCACTTATGTTGCTCAGGCTGGTCTCAAATTCCTGAGCTCAAGCTATCCTTCTGTCTTAGCCTCCTGAATAGCAGGTCTGCAAGTGTGTACCCCTGAGCCCAGTCTATCACAGCCCTCTGAGCTAGATGACTGGTGAGCACAGGCTCTGGCCCTGCGATTGCTCTATAGGGGCCTGGTGGTTCTGGCTCCTCGAAGAAGCCCTGGCCCCAGGGCAGAACCCTCCCACATGTACACCACCCATATGCACACAGAGGACTAGGCAGGATGCTGGTTCCTGATGTCACTGTCATGAACATTCAGCTGCCAGCAGAGGTGCCCAGGTACACAGATGGGAAAGGAGCACTGGCCCCCAGAGCACCTCCTACCCCAGAGCTGCTCTTGGTCCTCAGCCCAGATGACATGAGTCAGGACAAGGTACAAATCTGGAGCCCATGGATGAGACACTGAGCTTCCTCGAGGGCTGGGAGGGGTCCTCCATCTTGACCTGGCTGGAGGGACCAGGCCAGCACAGTCACACTCCCTTTGCACCTTGGGACAATGGCAGAATGGACCACTGTCTGCTACTGGCAAAGCCACCTACACCCAACAGGTGGCCCTAGCTGCTGCCTGGCCTCTTAGCCCATGGCCAAGAGCCCGAGCCCTGCCCAGCTCTCCCACTGCTGGCCCCTGAATGGCCCCAAAAGGACATTTTAGCCATTCCAAATAAAAGGTCCACATTCCTGTTTGTGTCCAAACCTAGGACAGTGCACCAAGTGTGTGCGTGGGGAATTGGGGGGGAGTGACAGACACTGGCCCAGCACTGAATTCATCACAGCCCCAGCACCCCAGGCTCAAGAAAGATTTGGTTCACCCCTCTGCAAAATAGAGATACAGCCCAATCATTCCTCCAGGTTGACTGGGAGCCATGACACCAGCTCTCACCACCCCCAGCCCCAGCCTAGCCATTGGCAAGGTCAGACTGAGGTTCTGGGTAGTCAGCCTGGTGGTGGAGTCGGCAAGGCCAGCCAGTGCCTCCTGCTGCTCCAGGGCAGCCTCAGGGTCAGGGGTCAGGGGCCGTCTAGCACTGCACAGGCCAGCCACTCTGGCTCTGACCCCAGCTGAGGCTGGGAAGCAGTCAGATGCCTGGGCCCCTTCATAGTCCAGCCTCCAAACAGAGGAGAAAACTGCCTTTCCCTGGGTTCTTCTGATCCATGGGACCCCAGCCAGCCCCTGCACCCAGCAGTCGCACAGTACCAGACCAGATAGAGCTCAGGCTGGGTGCCAACAGGTGTTTCCTGTCCACCTCAGGACACCAGAGCCACACAGTCTGGCTGGTTGCAGCAGGAGACTGGACCGCCCATGTGCTTTGGGCCTGGGGCCTGGACCCTCCTGTCTCTGGCACTCATCCCTTGTTGCTGGGCCTCCATCCACATTCCAGGGGAATTGCAGCTAAGTGGCTAATGACCCCCAGTGCAGGGAGGAATGGGGGAAGAGGAGACAGAGGATGCAGGTAGTCAGGCGCCGAGACACAGGGCCCACCCCAGTCCTGGCCACCTGCCCAAGCCTGGCTATGCAGTGGCCCCACCCACCAAGTCTCCCATCTCTCATCTCCCTGTCAGGATCTGGGGCCCTCTGTCCATCCTGCTGTTTTCATCTGTCGTCTCAGTGCAGAGGAGGGGTGGAGAGCTGGTGAGTCTGGAGAGCCCACAGATGCAGGGCCTGACAGGTCTGGTAGGCCCTGGACCCCAACCCCAGTCCATGAGAAAGGAACACCACTGAGGAGCCGGCAGAGCTCTGGTGACCCTGATGCCAGCAGGGCACCCATGGTTTCAGGAGTCAAGTGTCCTGGGGCTCTGCACACCAGTGTCCTGCCACCTCCCCTCTCATGCCCTGACACCTCAGGGGCCATGGCCTCAGCATCTTCAGAACAGGCCTAGAAAGTTGCCTCAGTGAGTGATGGCCCTTTGTTCTCCTTGGTGAGCACTGACCAATGTGCCCCAAGGCTGGGACTACAGAGGGGTGACCCCAGGCCTACAGGATGGCCATGCCTGGCAAGGGTGCTGAGAGGGAGTACTGACCTTTGCATCTGGCCTGGGCCCTGTGGCCCACTGGAGTTGCAGTAACTGGGAAGTGGGAGCAGGGGCAAGAAACCTGAGTCAAGTTGGCCCCTTGGGACTCGAGGGGTGCTCCACGCCAGCCTGCTTGGCCCTCCTCATTAGAAGGGGCTGGCAGCAGCAGCTGCAGTGAAGCATAGAACCCTCCAGCTGCCACCAAAGTTACCAGGGGGAGGTGGGAACGGCTCAGTGAGCAAATCTTCCAGGCACAGATCAGAGCCCACTGGCACACCACAGTGCCTGGCTGGGCCAGTCCCCATGACTAGGCAGACCAAGATCCCAGGGAGGGGTGATGGCCCTCAGACTGCACCCACAGCCTTCCCTCTTCAAGGGGACCCTGGGATGGGAGAGGCTGTTTCCTACCCAGTCATGGGGATAGGAGCACAGGCTCATCTGTGGGGTGGTCAGAGGCTAGAAGCCCACTGCCACTTATGAGGCATGGGTGCCAGTGGAGATAGCACCTCAGCAGCCCAGCTCAGGTGGCAACATCCTAAAGACAATTTAGATTCTTTGGTATTGATTTGCTGAGGACAATATGGGGTAGGGGTGTGGGCCCAAAGGGCTTAAACCCACAGGACATGAAACCAGGGCCTTGGCATGGCTCCAGGGCCACAGTAAATGGGCTACTCAGCCCATGCCCCACATCCACAGCCATCATTGGGGAAGGTGGCAAGACGCAGGCATCTTCTGGCAATGTCCTCCCACCAAGCCAGGTGCTGGGTAGATCTGGACCCACAAATGCCCTCCAGCTTGGCACACAGTGCCTGCGGCTGGCATGAGAGCACACACCTGGATCCCCTCTGCCTCCAGCAGGACCCAGCCTCCCCGTGCTCCTTGCTCACCTCTGACTCTTCCACATCCCACCATCCTGCCCTGAGCCTGAAGACAACAGGTCTTGGGAAGCCACAAGGCTGCTTCTCCAAAGCTAAACAGGCAGGAAGGGACCTACAGGGACATCTGTCCTTGTCCTCCTGGTAAACACAGCTGCAGGCAACAGCTGCCTGAAGCTTGGCCAGCCATCCCCCCATCTGTGTGAGGCTTCAGCCATGTCCCATGGACATGCCCCTCTGTACCCCAAAACCTGTCCCAGATATCAGCTGCCCAGCCCCCACCTCCACCAATGCAATAACCAGGCAGCATCCATGGGCAACAGGGAGGGCTGGGGGCTCTTTATTATTGCAAGCTCTGTATTATTATTGGGGATCCTCTTCACCTCCTCCCTGAGGTGGCTGGTGGTTCCTCTATGGTGCCATCACGTGCCCAGGAGCAACCCAGAGAAGATGGAACCACCCTGGATGGTGAGGGCCACCCCAGAGCCATTGTCCACAAACACAGAGGCGTACTGTCCAGCCTGCAGGCACCATCCAACCATCAGCTCCGTGCAGCCCATCTTGGCACCTGCCCACCCACAGGGAGAGTGCACAGGGTACTGAGTGCCTGTGGGAGTGACCTCACCCAGCCCTCACCTGCAGCTGCAGCAGCCCTTGCACCTGTGCCGTGAAGACCCTGCTGTTACTCTCCAGGCCTGAGATGGCCTCCAGGGACCTGGGCACAGAACCACAGGGTCAACAAGGGCATCAGGATGCCACCCACTACCAAGTCCTGGGCCCAGGGTGGGTGCACTCACATGTGGCGATGGCACAAGGACTCTATGCAGATGAGGACACGCACGGTGTCCCGGGCTCGCAGCCGGGCCCTGCCCTGCAGTGCGCTGTGGTCTATGGAGACACTAGCTTCAGGATACCACCCAGGACAGGCCTGGTGGCAGCTGTGGGGGCAGGGAGGGTAGTGTGCGGCCCAGGGCTCCCAGTGAGCAGTCTGTGGCCAATCCGCCCTCTGCCTCCCACTGCACACACAGCCACTTGGCTCACCCACATGAAGGCTGGCAGAGAACTGGAAGATGGCAGAGACAGGGGCTGTGAATCGGCCAGAGGCCAGGCTCAGTCCAGACCCCCTCAGGAAGGCACCCTGGACAGCAGGCTGTGGGGCAGTGGGTAAGTGGCAGGCTCTTGTAGGGTCCCACCTCACAGGAGGCAGGGAACAGCAAACCCAGGCATCCACACCCACCTGGTCCTCAGACCCCCAGAGCAGGGGTCCTCCCTGCCCCCACCACCCTGGCCCACCCCACCCTGGTTAGGGTGGGACACAGCACTCTGCATGGGCTGCCCACCCCCTTGGGCCCTCACCTTGCCCCACTTACAGCCTGGAAGCCCCGTAGCTCCACCAGGGTCCTCTGGTCTACCAGCACAGGAGCCTTCAGCCGGCAGTGGAAGGCCTCGACCACCAGTCGCTGGCCACTCACCTGTGGCAGCCATGTGTCCAGCAGTGCAGAGAACCTTCGCTCTGTGGCCTCTGTGGGGAAGAAGCCAATGCGACACAGGGTCAGGCCCATCCCATCCTGATGGGGCTAAGGGACCTGGAAGGAGATACCAGCAGCCTTACCTCTTAGCATCTCCTGAAACTCTTGCAGCAGGGCTTCTGGGGTAACTTCTGCACCAGGGGGGCCTGGGGGCCCAGGGGGTCCTGGGGGTCCTGGGGGCCCCAAGAGACCTCGCTGTGAGGAGACAGGAGAAAGTGAAGGACCTGGTAGAATGCACAGCCACCACCTGCCCTGGGCTCAGACCCCTGAGAGGGTCCTGGGAGCCCCAAAGCACCCAGGAGCTTACCAGCTTCTTATCCTGGCATCGGCACCGTCGCTTGGAAGCCCCGTCATCTGGCCGACGGACAAAGTTCAACCATGTCATGTGGGCATCTGAGAACTCAGGCCCTGAGGCCTCCAGTGGCTAGAAAGCCAGGGGATAGGACTAGTGCACTGACCACCAGGCCTGCTAGCCCCTAGCGCGAGCTGGGACCTCAGATCACTGGGGATATTCAGGCTCAGAGGACAGAGAGCATCTGCTTTTTTTTGAGACAGGGTCTCATTATGTAGTTGAGACTGACCTGGGGCTCACTATGTAGCCCAGGCTGGTCTTGAACTCACAGCGATCCTCCTGCCTCAGCCTCCCAAGTGCTGGGATTACAGGCATACGCCACCACGCCCGGCTGACAGAGAGCATCTGAACACACCCCAGTGCCTCACAATGCAGTCCCTGCCTGCCCCCCATGCCCACTGGCCCCTCCAGCAGGAAGAAAAAGGGCATGGGGGCCACACAGTTGGCTCCTTCCCTTAGAGGCTCTGCCCTTGCTAGGCAGACAGGCAAGCTGCTGCCAATGTTAGGTGGGTACCTCCTTCCCTTGATGGTGACTGGGTTGTTCTGGATCCCAACCCTGCCAGTGTCCCCCATATCCCAGGGCCCTGAATAATGCCTGGGGGGGCAGCTCTCTGCCTACTCCTCCTCACTTATCCCAGCCTACCCTTGCGGAAAATGGCCCCAGGCTCTCGGGGGCTGCGTGGGCAGCAGCTCCCAGGCTGGCTGCCATGGAGCCGCCCTTGGGAGAAGGGATGCCAGGATCAAAGCGTGGTCCTGCCAGGGCAGGGGCACTGGTGGCAGCAGGAGATCCTGAGGCCAGTCCTCTGAAACCCTCTGCCCAAGAGGGCATAAGCCCAGGTCCCCTGTCTCCAGAAATTACAGGAGACACGCTCACCATGCTAGCTCCAGCCTCAGAAATTGGGGAAACATGCTCCCTATACAGGTTCTGGTCACCCACATGGCATGCAGCCGCTACCCAATCCTCCCGCATTTGCAATCACAGCAGAGGGCACCAGTTTGTCCAAAGCACAGACCACCAGGCTTCAAAGGGAGGGCTGCAGCCCCCTGAAACCCTCTCCTCTCCAGCCCCTTCCCAGACCCCACCCCCGAGGCAGGAACTGGCTGCCAGGTAGAGGGGCTCCCCTGAGGTGGGTCCCACCAAGACAGGGACAGCAGTTAAAGCTGAGAGGACAGCCTGGAGACAGAGCCCATGCCCACGTGCGCCTGGCCTGCGCATACCTTGGCGGAGCTTGGGAGGCCCTCGCTGTTGGACGCGGTGGCGTTGGGGGACTCTGTACGCTGGCTGGACGGGCGCAGCCTCTTGGACTCCCGCCGCGCCCCGACACCACTAAGCAGAGTGAGCTGTGGCCACAGGAGAGCCACGGCTGCGGCTGCCTGGAGACAGAGCCCATGCCCACGTGCGCCTGGCCTGCGCATACCTTGGCGGAGCTTGGGAGGCCCTCGCTGTTGGACGCGGTGGCGTTGGGGGACTCTGTACGCTGGCTGGACGGGCGCAGCCTCTTGGACTCCCGCCGCGCCCCGACACCACTAAGCAGAGTGAGCTGTGGCCACAGGAGAGCCACGGCTGCGGCTGTGGCC